AAGTAACATTGCTACACTTACTATCCCGGCTTTGTGTAAGCGTTATGTTGCTGGCAAATTAAAGCAAACACTCACATGTTTCTTTGTATTTTATTATGTTGCAGGATTAACTCATGTGTGCATACTTACATTGTTTCTTTGTTTTCAGTCTTCATGTAGGTCAGCTGTGGGAAAGACCCGCCCAGCCAGCATTTCCTGATTTTTAAAGTACTGATGATGTCATGTCTGACATCAGCAGGTTAAACCAGGAGGAGGGTTTTTATGTAGGAATGCTTCCTTTTGTTTGTGTCAGGATGCAAAGGGATTTGTTGCATATTGTTTCTTACATGGAGCCGTTTAGTTGTGTAAATGTGTTAATGTCAGTCATTTGTGTTGAGCTCCAGCTGGTGGTGCTGGCTAAACTAACTGAAGGTAAACTGGCAGCTCGGTCAGTCTCTGCTTGATGCAGGTGAGGGAGGAGAGGTGAGCTGTGTCACTGACTCCATGTGGGTTTTGAGTTTTGTTAAATAAGTTAATCTGAGGTGAGTTTTGTTAAGTTTCACATATGATGGAGGTCACGGTAAATAAATTGCTCATCTCCTCCAAAACGTCTGTGGAGTCAGCTCACTTACCACCTTCCTTGATGCTCCAGTCAGACTACTTCACAGATCCCAAAAAATCTAGCAAACGTGTGCGAGCTCTATTCGAGTTGAATCCTCACCACAGCCTCCGCACCGTCTGCTGGACAGTCCAAGACGCCACTGCTGGAAACAGGTGCAGGCGGCGTGACGGGCAGCTCCACGGGAGCGCCTTTAACACCTGTGAGCAGTATCCTGCAGGTCTCCACCCAATCACCACACTCCCTCTGAGGACACCAATCACAGTTGACATTGCAAAACTATTACTGACCCCGCCCCAATGTTACAAGTGATAGTGTATGTGTGCCAGAGGTGTGTTTACCTGCAGCTTTTTGAACTCGTTCATCTCATTCTGAGCCTGAGCTGACAGCGTGTTCAGGTGCTCCTCCAGGACCAGGCTGCACGAACTAAACAACATTTTCAGATGAGTTTGACAACCTGTTTCCTTCCTCGCTCGCTGTTTAAATGTAAAGTTACTCCAACGTTTAAAAGTACGTAACCTGCTCGAGTCGGTTCGTGTGTTCTTATTTTACTGTTAAAGAGATTTATTTTATCACACAGTTACTGTAAAATATTTACAACAGCTTCTGGTACCTGGTGATGTAGCTGGACAAGCGATCCAGCTTCTCAGCCAGCATCTGGGCATCCTCATCCAGAGTTTCCTGTGAAATTTCTGGAATGTACCGGTGGGGTTCCTCTTCTTGGTTTTCCTCCTCGCTGTGGTTGGGAACCACAAGGAGTAAGAGCTCTAACATCCACCGAGTCTGAGCCACGTGAGCAGATCTGATCTGGTAGCAAAGAAAACATCCAGACTCAAAGAAGCCAAAACTCAGATCGTCTCCTACAAACAGCCGCTGTGCCTGAGCACCGTCTTCATGGGGCTCACGTGTTAGTTCCAATTTAACACAAATACACTCAAAAGACAGCAGAATATGGAAATATGGTGTTACTGAGCATGCCCGGTACTCACTTCTTCATGGAGCCTAAAGTTCTCCCCCTCAGTGAAGTCAGACAGGTTGGTTACAAATGCCTGGATTTTGTCAAACAGCTTTTCTGCCTCTGCGCTGTTTTAACAAACACGCACAAAGAAGCATTTCAGAACCGCCGTAAACGACTACAAGTGTTTGAATTTCAGCATGAAAACAGATCAGGCTGAATTTTTCTACAATTTGTTTCCCTCTATCTGCCAAACTGCAAAACATCTGCAATAAATGAATAAAAAACAATGCTCATTTTAAAATTCTGTTAATTTGTCTAATTCACTTTGAGAAAATGGGGACTGTGTGTAAAACTGTAATTCTTAGCGCGTTGATGCAAAATCACATCTTCATTGCTTGAGTTAAAATCCAGCAAAAGTACAAAAACTGTCTTTCTCAAAGTTAGTTTGTGTTATGGACCCGCACTCACCAAGTATCCGGTTTATTGTTGTCCGTTTTGTTGGAGAAGTGCCGAAAAGCTTCGTCAGCCAAACTCTTCCAGTTGTGCAGCGCTCTCTCCAGCTCTAACCAATCAGAGACGGCCATCTTTTCGGGATCTTCAATCACCGCGGCAAGTTTGGATCCCCGGGACTCCATCAGACCGTGCAGTGACATCACATTTCCATGGAGCCCTGCAACGGCATTGTTCAGCGACGTGGTCTATCCATATTTCAAGAATGATTAAACCATTTTCTCACCATTTTCTCCATCCACTTGAACGTCCAGCTCTCTGAGGAGCTCACACAGCTCTTTGTCCAGTTCTCTCTGGGCGTGCTGGCCTTCAGGAGGTCCCCCGTCAGCTGAAGGGTGTCTTCTAAAGAGCTGCAGGCTCATATTCAGCCATATTTCCTGGATATTACCGAGTTCACTAAGTGTCTGCTGGCAGTTCAGCTGTTTCTCGCCTTGGTAGTGTTCACACAGCAGTGCTAACATCTAGACAAAACAAATGTTTCCTGGTGTTTAATCATGTGCAGACGACTCTGGTTTGTTCATCTCCAATTAAAAAAGGAAGATTTTCTAAAACTATGACAAAGGTGAGACACACAAGCCTTACATTTGACCA